CTGCAGGATGGCAGTGCCGAACCCAGCCTCAGGGTCACCCACCTCTGGTCACCGGGCCCGGGCGCTGCCCGCTGGGAAGGTAGTGGCGGCGCGGAGCCTTCACCTACCCTAGAGACCCTCCTGCCCTCACTCCCCAGCCGCACAGCCGGCCCCCCACTACCCGGCCTGCCCAGCCCCCCGCGTGCCCACGTTACCTAACACAGGAAGAGGCGGCCAGGCCACACGCTTCGGTCAGCGTCTGCGCCTTCGCTATCTAGAGCGCCCCGGTAGGGCGACGAGGAGGTCTCTGCCAGGAAGAAAGATGGCGGATGGCCGAGGGAGGCGGACTGAGAGGCGCATGCGCAATGGGCTGCCACGCCTCCAACACACCCTCCGCCTGCGTTCAGTCCTACCCAGGAAAAACTAGCACAAATAGGGTCGAAAATGCATACCCAGAATGAGAAAGAAATTAGTCAATCAATCCGGCAAATACCAACGTCTAAACAAAAAGTCAAAGATCACGTTTCCATTCAGTGACATCTAGGCAGACATGGGAAGTCTTTGTAAACAAAACAGCCAGCAACCCTAACTGGTTACAGCTAAACTGCGTTTTCCTAGCGTAATGAAGAGCTTCAGACGTACAGAGAAGTGGAACAAGCTGGGCAGTGGACACCCGCGTGGCCACCTCTCCGGTTATGGACTCAGAACTCGAGTCCATCCCGCTGTTCAGTAAGAGCGCCAGCGGGCCCGCAGTGCACCCACCGGCTAACTGCCCGCACCTGCACCTGGCCAGGCGAGAGCCAAGACGTGGAGTTGTGTCAGCTCCAGGTGACTGTCTCCCGCCACTGCACTCCTTGGGACACCTTTCCTTTTTGGGGAGGTTTTTCAGTGCGCAGTTGTTTTACTGCCCCTTCCCTCGTCAACCTGCAGGCCATCGTTGGGCCTTTGTTCCCGGAGTCACCCAGCCCTCAGCCTCTGGCTGCGGCAGAGGACACCAGCGGGCCCACCCCGAATCAAGGCCGTGCGCCTCACGCAGGAGTCTCTGCTCCCGGGGGGCCAGTGCTGCGCCCGCCCTGCCGAGTCCAGGGTCCCGCTGACCACCTCGCTCCCTGTGGCCGGCCCCTCAGCACTGTCACCCGAAGGCTCTTGGAAAGATCCTGTACAGCCAGCTTACAGGAGAGGGCCTAGGCTGAAGGCGAAGCAGCGGCCGGGCTGCGGCTGGAATGTGTACCGTGATCGGCTTTACGTAAAATGGCCTTTCTCCAGGTGTGTCTGCTTGCTGGGTGAAAACCAACAGTCGTTTACTGTTAGCTTTATTAGGGCTCTGTGGCAGAAATCCCGGAATGCTGAATGCATTTCAGGTGTTTTACTTCTTAGGGTTATCGAATGCCAAGAGAATACAATGCACCTTCACTTTTCAACTTCCCTTGCCTCGTCCTCCAAAGAGGAAGCGACAGACAGCTGAAGACTGTGCACTGACGTTACTCCCTGCAAGGTGGAATCCCAGCCAGAGAGTCTGCACCTGCCACCCAGCGTGCCGCGCTATAAGCCCCGGAAGCAGGTCCCCGCCGGAAGCCGGGCGCGTGCGTCGGCGCTCATAATGACGCCCGCCGGGTCAGAGGTCACTGGCAAAATGGCGGCTGCAGTGACCTTCCGCCGGCTGCTGGCGCTGCCCGGGGACGTTCGCGCTTTCGGGGTGCGGGTGTCGCCGACTGGGGAGAAGATCACGCACACGGGCCAGGTAACTGCTGCACGCGATGCCCACGGCTCAGGCCCGGGACTGGGCGGTGGCCAGAGCTCGCGGAGAGTGGGCGGTCGGATAGCGTCTGCGGGATCCTCACCCTGAGGCGCCTGGGGCTGAGAGTTGGGCTCGAGCCGCTGTTATTCGCCCATTCCTGCTCCGGGTCCCACTCGCACACGCCCACTCGCCTATCGGCGACTGCTGACTTTCCAGTGCTGCCCAGTGGGCTGCGGTGGCCGCCGCAGGGAACCTTCCATGGAGGGTCTAACCACCTATTTTTGGATCAGTTTTGATGCTTGTGTCTTATTAACTCATAAAAGTTGAATGATTCGAGGGTCTGCTGAGTGCACGCAACAGCTCTCAACTATTCCAGTGAACGGACTAAAATGTCACAGTATATTTAGAGGGCGAAATAAAGCTTCTTGGGCTTAAAAGGAACGGAGGTTGGGGGTTCTTCCTCTGCCAGGATCATCTCTGGCCTCCACCATACTGGACCACTCAGGCTTGCTACCTTCCTGTTAGATCATCCTGCTTGGGAGTCTGCCTGAGAAATGCGACTGCATGTACAAGTGCGCTCCATCCTCTTTGTTGCTGACTCGTTAATGACCTAAAATGTGAAGAAAAACACTTTCCTGTTATACTTGGCATGATATTGTGACCACTTTCAGAATTAGGCAGTAAAAATCACGGATGGTCTTTTTTCTTTCAGGTTTATGATGATAAAGACTACAGGAAAATTCGGTTCGTAGGGCGTCAGAAAGAGGTGAGTAAAAGATCTAGTAAAAGATTCCTAAAACTTACAGAGGTCCTTAATCCTAACACATGAAATGCACCAAAATGCAAAACTTTCTGAGTGTGGACATGGAACTACAAGTGGAGAATTCCACCCTTGACCTCATGAGATAGGTCTCAGTCAAAACACAGGCAGTTTAAAAGTTTCATATATAGTTATTTTCAGGCTGTGTATAAGATGTAAAGAAACAAATGAATTTTGTGTTTAGATTTGGGTTCCATCCCCAAGATTTCTCATTATGTATATGCAAATATTCCAAAATCCAAAGCACTTCAGTCCCAGGTGTTTGAGGAAAGGGGTGTTCAACCTCTGTCACCTACAAGAAGTGAAAATTATAAGACTTAAATCCTTCCCATATCTCAAGCACCCTACAAGCTCTTGAATTCTGAATGTTCATTGTGTTTGCTTTTTCCTTTTAAAACATATAATAACATAACATCTATAACCATAGCATCCTATAACCACTTATATATGAGAATGACCTTTGTTTTCATTTCTGTGTCTCAGATTATTCTTTAAATCACCTCTTGAGGTATGCTCTTCATAGTTTTCACTAAATAAGCCAGGCTGTGTTCTCACAGGGGCTCTTCTCTGAGTGGGTCTCACTCCACACATTGCAAGGGGAAATGGGTTAGTTCCCACACCCATGATGGGGCTGCTGGAGAAGAACACTAAGAATGGAGTATTCTTCTGAAATGAGCCTGTGTCTTACATGACTCCCTCTCTCACTCGTGTCCCCAGCTCCTGAATCTCACCCTTTTTAGTTCAGGCTGTTTTTGTCTTCCATGGTCACCTTAAGTTACTCTCCTTCCTATTTCAGGTGTCTAAATCCCTTTGCCTCTGCTTGTGGCTGCATTGTTCCTTCCCAGTGCCTGGTATTTCCATGATAACATCTGTTCGGGAGCTACAGGGCATTCTGGAGAAGCTCCCATGTTGGCCACTGGCCATTATAATTCCTGTTCTCAGATTTCAGCCAGGTGGCTGTTGTGTGACTGACTGATGGGAGAAATTTGTATTTTCCTTACTGGCTGTTCGCCAGTGCTGTCATATGCTGGGCTGGAAAGGATCCTGAGGGCTGCTCCGGCTTGGAAGGAGGAGTGAAGCATCTCCTGTCTGTTGGGTGTGGTGGTGGAGAGGTGTGGGTAGTGAGGCTGCCTCCGGTGGGTAATAGCTGTGTGCATTTGCAGGCTGCAGGCTTCACACTGAAACTCAGCGCAGGTTAGTGCCTCTGAAGTTTTCTCATTTGTAAGTTGGAAACCTTGTGAATATTTTTTGTAGTAAGTGTTTGTCATTATAAGCATCCTGTGGGATGATGCAGATTGCCTTGCAAGCCTGAGTGTGACCAGCCCTCCTCCTCCCTGTCCTCGGAAGCCTTCTTGGTTCATTACTTGGCCATGAATATATTCCTGGCTTCACTCCTGCTGTATGTGCTGTGGCCTTCGTCCTGAAGAGCTGTTTTGCACCAGGAGCGCGTGGCGTCGGGAATGGGAATGGGGCCTCTGTTCTTTCACACAGTCAGAAAAGTCAGGCTTTCCAGATAGGTGTGGGAGCACGATGTTTACAAGTTGGTTCTGTGGTGTTGCCAGGGTGATTGGGCCTGTAGTTTGCCTTTGGCAGGGTCCCATGGAATCAGGGAGGTTGTCTCAGTGGAAACAGCATCCACTCCAGGTGTCCTGGCCTGGACAGGTGGTCGGTCTGAGCTGGACTCCACATCCTCACTGGGCAGATGTTGTGCTGCGCTAGCAGCACTGTGGGCTGAGCAGCCAGAAAGCAGGTGGGCCCTGTTGCCTGCCTGGCCTTAGTCCTTTTCCCAGCAACGGGGTGTGGCTCCCTGTCACAGACAAAGGAAAGGGTAATGGGGAGCCTCCTAAGGTGCAGAAGCAAAGGCAGTTAGTGGAAATAGCGGAGTGAGTGGAGGAGCCACAGGACAGCTGGATGCTGCTGTCCCCGCCACTGTCCCAGCACCCCTGCCTGCTGCAGCACCGTGAGTGAGGGGCACATCTCACACCCTCCAGGTACTTGGCATCCTGTTTGGGAGGCGGCAACCTGCTCAGGCTTTACTTCTTTCAAAAGAAAGTGTTCTTTTTAAAAGTAAATTTTAAAAATAATATTTTTGGTGGGGCATCATGCTGGCGATAGAACCCAGGGCCTTGCTCATGCCAGGCAAGTGCTGTACTGCTAGGCCACACCCCCAGCCCAAAGAGATAATTTTTAGAACATTTTCAGTTTGCAGAAAAGCTGCGGAGAAAGTGCAGCATTCCCACAGGCCCCTCCTTGCCAGCGCAGCCTTGTGGACGTGTGGATAGCTCACACCTGCAGGTGGCGAAGGGCTCACACTGGTGTCGTGGGGCTCTGGGTCTAGGCATATGTGGCCACTTGCTGTTGCTGTGGCACCCAGAGTCACTCGCTGCCCTGCACACCTGTGCTCTACCTGTCAGTCCTCGCCGTGCCACATCTGATCTGTCCCCAGTTCCACTAGTATTTGAGGAAAAGCTCAGTGCCAGCCTCACCTGAAGTCCCAGGGGGCAGGATGCTAGGCATAGAGCTGGCTCTTCAGGGAGACTGGCCAGCTTCACTTCAAGGCTCCTGCCAGTCCTGACCCAAGGTGGTGGCCGCCCTGGCTTGGAAGTAAGTGTCCGGTCCCCTCTGTCTTGTTCCTCTGAAGTTAGACAGCTGCTGTTGGAAGCAGACGCCTCCGTCCTCCAGTCTTGATGCCATGGGACTGGAAGTGTGATGACCACAGGCTCCTGGTATTGGGTCTCGCCTCTGTCACTGGGTGTATGTGGTCACATTGGGCAGCCTGGCCTGTGTGCTGGGTCCAGGCTCCCACCCTGGCCAGCTTCTAGCCACGTCGGAGCCTCCGTGCTAAGCCCTTGGGGCATGGCACTGGCTAGTGGAGCAGGGCAAGTTTTCAGGCATTGCCTACCATGAAAGTGCCAGGTGCTGAGCCTGGGGGCCGTGAGGGCACACTTGATTTTTGATTCTTAGACACCTGCAGGACGCTAGGGTCTGTCACCTCTCTGCCTCCCCAGTATCCCAGCAGCATAGCTCTGTCCTGCCCAGCGGCTTGCCCTGGGCACCTGTGGCAGAGCACAGATAGGTGCTGGGCAGTGCTGTCACAGGGGCTGGCTGGTGAGTCAGGTGACCTGGGGACCTCACTGCCTCTCTGTTCTTGGGTAGCAACTTTAAGACAAAGCCACCACCAGTTTCGGAGAGCAGACAAGTGGGGGCTGCACCAGGGCCGCAGAGTTGGGCTCCCTCCCGTGCAGACACACACGCTCACTTCCTGTGACAGAGACAGGTGGGGTCAGGGTGTGCCCCGGCCCCTTCTCCCTCACAGGATGTCACCTGCCCAGCCAGACGAAGCAGCTGTGAAACGGAGGGAGATGTGGCACAGTTTCCTCTTCCTCAACGTGGCTCCTGTGGCTCCTCCTGCGTCCTGTCCTGGCCCCAGGCCCCTGGGGCAGATGCCAGGCATCATCCTGTGACCAGATCTAGCACATGGGCCAGTGAGCGCCTTCACAGGATGCCTGCGTGGCGACCGTAACAGTCACGCCCCTTTAGCTGACTGACAGGGCTTAGGACCTTCAGCTGTGCTCATCTGTGGGTTGGACTTGGGGTCCGGCTGAGCACCCCTCGCTGGCTGGCATCTGAAGCCCCTGTGTGTCTGGCCCTCACCGCTTCCTCCCAGGGACGGCGTCTGTTTCTGGACACCCTGTCTGCTGCACAGGCTCTCAGCTGGGCCGGTGCTGGTCTCCCTGAGGGTACATAGGTGATGTGTGTGTGCTCCATGGGGACGGGAAGACTCCACCTGTGAGGGCTGAGAAGATGGTGCTCGCAGACCCTGAGGGGAGCATTCTGAGGCAGTCAGAAGCAGTGCTGGGTATGGACGTGTGAGCCAGGGCGAGTGTGTGGGCAGAGACGGGCAGGGGTGTGGTGGGGGGTGAGGCCGGGGGGGTCTTGATGGTCGCTGGATCCAGAACAGGGACAGCGCGAGGCCTCTGCCCGTCTCCTGTGGGCTTATTGGGGTCTGACGGGAGGGTGCACGTGTGGGATACCCGGCTCGTGGGCTGTGTCCTGGGAGGAGGACGGTGACGACCGTAAGATTGTGTGCTGGCGGGTGTGCAGCGCCGTCTGCAGGAGCCTGCACTGAGAAGCTGCGGAGGTTTTGCACTTGCCTGTGTGAGTTTTTCTTTTCTTGTTCTAGGTGAACGAAAACTTTGCCATCGACCTGATAGCAGAGCAGCCCGTGAGCGAGGTGGGCCAGCGGGTGATCGCATGCGATGGCGGCGGGGGCGCCCTGGGCCACCCCAAGGTGTACATTAACCTGGTAAGGAGCTGGTCCCGCCGTCCCTGCCCGCTCCCACACCTGTGCGCTCATGGTGTGTCAGGCAGCGCCGCTGACAGCTTGGGCCAGTTTGGAGTGCCGCAGGCCTCTGTCTCCTCCGGCTGTCCTCCGGTCCCTGCCTAGTCTGCTGGCTGCCATGCGCAGTGCCACAGCCTGGGGCTCTGGGTCCAGGACAGCATTGTAGCCAGTGAGGTTCATCCTGGTCCCTTCTGAGGACACCGTCATCCTGGTTGGGACCCAGCCCAGTGGACTCACTTTCATGGAATCCAGTCCTCTGGAGGGCCAGGGCTCTGACGTGTGACCTTGAGAGGCAGCATGGCCACGCCCTAGCTGTCCCTCTAGTCTGTCATCCACACGGGTCGTAGAGGAGGAGGACAGAGGCCAGGGAAGCTGTGCGGTGAGTTCAGCATGGGCTGGTTTGTGCCATGCTGGGTGCTTATGCCCAGCGCTATGAAGTAAGGAACAAGAAAGGGAAGGAAAGGCAGAGCCGCACCGGGCATGTGACCTGTGCTGGACAGCGGGGAGAGGGCTCCTCCTCGGCAGGCCGCCGGGGTCTCTTCGCGTCTTCCCAACGTGGAGGTGCCACCCCGGCTTCATCTTCATTGGCACTGCATTTAGCTGTTACTGATGGGGTGCAGTGTAGCAGGCATAGACTCAAGCGGCCTGGAGCAGGGTCTGTCGTCCCACACAGTGTCTGTCCCTGAGGCTCAGCATGCGGCATGGTCACAGTCCTGGGCCTGAAGTGGCCGTGTGGGGACAGTGGGGAGCCCTCGGATTCTGTGCTGGAAGGCTCCCATTCCCACAGGGTTTCCAGGTGACTGCGTTTCGGGCAGGATCCCATCTTCTCAGGGCTTGATGTCTTACTGTGGGATTTGAGGGAGAAGTGGAAATGTGAGATCTTTCCTTTGGGATTTTTTTTCAGGACAAAGAAACCAAGACGGGGACGTGTGGCTACTGCGGCCTGCAGTTCAAGCAGCACCATCACTAGCCGGGCATGGGATGCGAGTGGGCATGCGACACCTTGGCCTTGGAGGGGATCCTGGCACTAAATAAAGGGCCCAGCACCCAGGACATGGAGCGAGCGTTTCTTTCCTGGCTCCAGTGTTCCCTGAGTGAGACACACCCCCCAGAAACGGCCCTCCCTGGGGCTGCTGCCCCCGGAGCCTGGTGCCGGGAGAGGCACAGCTGTGTCCACGTTCTGCTCAGGGCGCCTCTTCCTGTCCTCCTCAGCTTGGCTGGAGTCTGGCTCTGGGTGCCCTGGCTCTGCTCCTTTAAAAGAGGAGGAGTAGCGGTGTGGGGACCTCAGAGAGCAGGAATGGACCAGTGAGGGCACAACAGGAAACCCCTGCACAAAGGGAAAAACGACAGCCAGCCCGGGCCACCAGCTTCCCAGGCTGGGGAGAACAGATGGCTAGGAATGCTCTGGCTAAATTCAGAAATGAAGCTCTTATCTTCAGGGACTCTAGCAACTCCCATGTTTTTTGTTGCTTTCTGGTACTGAGGATGAGCACTAGGTTGCTGTGCCTCTGAGGTATATCCACAGATCTTTTTATGTTTTACAGAAAGTCCTCGTTTAATGACAAAATTATGTTTCTGCAATATGTCATCAATTAATTGGTTGCTAAATGAGGAATTATATATAGTACATTATAATATTCGGGACAAAGAAATGGTCAAAGGAGACTCCAACCTGGTTTTGCTTTCATTTGGACAAGTCTTGCATGCAGCGCTGTAATATGTAACAACACAAAAGTATAGCATTGAACTGTGCAGTACAGCCGGCAAAAGTTACAGTACTGTGTAAAGGTGTACTGTACAAAAAAGACATTGAGGCTCTATAAACAAGATGTGCAGAATCATATAAAAAAGGCAGGTCATAAGTCTGGACGGTCATTAAACAGTAGGTTGTTGGGTGAGGAACATTTATTTTGAGATGGGGTCTTGCTAAGTTGTGCACGCGGACTCGAACTTGTGGTCCTGCCTCAGCCTCCCTCAGTGCTAGGATTACAGGCCTCGAGCTGATGTGCTGGCACCAGCTGGTGGTGTGGTCTGCACCAGGCAGGCAGAGCCCGTGGCCTGGACAGCCCGGGGTGAGGACATGACATCCAGGGCTCCACTGGATGGATGAAGGCATTGAGTGGCAGCTCCTGCCTGTGATGTTATCAAAAATTACTGTGAGCATTAGATTTTTAAGATGCATTACAGTAAAAGATACACTGCCGTAAACCCCATCAAAGTTGGTACCTTCTGTGGCATCTCTGAGTCCCCTTTCCTGGGTGTCTGGTTGCTGTCATAGATGTCTTGCTGTCCTGATGTTTCTGGGTGCTTTTGACTTGGGGGAAGAGCCGGCATCACACTGGTCTGGCCTGGTGGTAAAGCAGATGAGGCCACACCGTCGTTCTTACAAGCCTCCCTTTCCATCATGTAGCATTTGCCAGAAGTATTTGCTGTTTTGTTTTTGTTTTAGACAGAATCTCACTGTATAGTGCACTTTGAACTCACTGTGTAGCCTAGGCTGCCCTGAACTCGTGATCCTCCTGACTCAGCCTCCCCAGTGCTGGGGTTCCAGATGTGTGCCACCATGCCTGGCTTCACTATATTGATCACACCTTGAAAGGACTCCCTGCCCTGTGAGACAGGTTGGGTGCTGGGCCCAGCAGGGCGTGTGCCAAGGTGCTCATGGGTATCGTGGGAGCCCGGCTTCTCAGGGCTGCCCCTGGCAGAAGTGTACAGCGCTGGGTCATGGCAGGTTGCAGTGGCACAGTATCAGACACCACAGTGGCTGTCCTCTACCCTCTTCTGGGGCCGCCTGCCTTCTAGGGGTCCCCGGTCGTGTGAGCTGAGTGTTGGGCACTACAACAGTGAGCATCCCGGAAGCTGGCGCAGCTGCTCCGGAGGCAGCGTGTCTCCTGTTCAGCTCCCTGAGGCTGGGACAGCGTCCTCTGCTGCGCCCTCAAACAGCTTGCTTCAGGTTCATTCCCCCAGAAGGGTGGTGATGGCCTGTGGGACCTGGGGCACGCGAACCAGTGTGCAGGGCACCCCACGGTTCCCAACATTCACGGCCATGATGTAGCCCGGAGTTTGTGCGCTGGCCTCGGGCCACCGACTGGGTGGCTGCACAGCCAGGCCCCCACCTGACCCTCTCCATGGGACTCAGGGGCCACCCAGACTGGGCACCCACACTGCTGTGCAGAGGCCAGACCAGGTGGCAGTACCCCCAAGAATCACTGCGGGGACAGGTTCTGAGAGAGGGGTACCTGCAGAGCGCTGAGGTACTGGAGCCTGGGAAGGTGGAGGTGCCGGGCCCAGGCTGGGCGAAGTGTGGGCTCAGAGTGACCAGGGCTGACGTGGAACAGGACCCCAGTGTGGCTGTGCCCCACCATGGCCCTGGGAGACCTGGTGGCCAGGTCCCTGCTGCAGCAGCTTGGTGTGCTCATGGCCCCTTTCTGGCCAGGCAGTGAGCACAGCTCCTGGGTGGGGCTTGTAGCTAGAAGGTTCCTGAAGGTGTGTGCCAGGGGCTGCTGTGTAAAGTGGGGGGCAGGAGGCCTGCAGGAACCAGCACCTTGACCTCACGACCCCTGCCCAGCAGGGGGCAGTGGCGCTCAGCGTGGTGGCCTGGTTCCTTTGCAGGGCCCACGTGGCTGAGGCACAGCCCTGGGCGCTGATGACACCTGACAGCTCAGTGAAGAGGCCCAGGCAGCTGTGTGCCCTGGGGGACAGATGGGACACCCAGGGGACGATCCCTAGGGCCTGTGCCTGCACCTGGCTGGTGTCCCTTGTCCCCCGTGAGGGCCCGTCCCTCCCTGATGGTGGAGTGGGGAGCAGTGTTGCCTGTAGTGGGACAGATGGTGAGGGTCCCTAGCAGCACCATGCCACTCCTGTGAGAGTCCCTGCCTGGCCAGGATGGGACTGGGAAGCAGGAGCTGGATTTGAAGGTGGCCTGCTGCCTGGAGGTGGCAGCTGGGCTCTGCAGGTCCTGTGGCATTGCGTAAATGGCCTTTCCCCAGTTCAGGATGGCCTTGCTCTCTGCTCCATTCTTGGGGGTAGGTAAGGTTCCAGACCCAATCTGCCAGATGTGGGGGTTACAGATTTCATCTAGTGCAGTTACTTAAAGTTTCAAACGCTAACATCTAACCTGATCAGACCCCAGCTGATCGTTCCCTCTGTGCACAAGAGTCTCATGAAATATGAATGTAGCACCCTCAGGCTCCACCCTCAGTTGACCGGATGCCCTGACCTGGGGCTATCTCCAGATTGAGATTAGGAGATGAAGCCACAAACCGGCCACATACCGGACACTGAGTGATCGTGTGTCCCTGGACCAGGTTTCATGTGTATTAAATTTCTAATTATGATACATAGCAATTTTCTTTTCCTGTGTATGTATGTGTATGTGCTACTGGGGGTTGAACCCAAAGTCTCACATCAAGCTGCATGCCCAGTCCTTTAAAAATTTTGATACAGGTCTAACTTGGCCAGGTGGGCTCAAACTTAAGACCTTCCTGTCTCAGCCTCCCAGAGTGCTTGAATCACAGGTGTGCCCCACGACGTCTGGATTATTGTGATTGTTTTCTTCTCTTTGGGTCCAGGCATTCTTGGGATGACAAGGCAGAAGTGGTGAGGACCTGCTGTCCCTTGAGCTTTTGAAGGCAGGTGAGGGCCAGCTGCTGTGTCTGTGCTCACAGTGGGGCTGGAGTTGGGCCTGGCCCTGACCCTCACAGGAGGGACTGTGCTGCCCCTTCTCGTGAGTGTCCATGAAGCCTGGGAGGAAAGGGTTTCTTCGTGATGCTCGGTCTGGAATTCAGCCTGGTACGGGCAAAACAACCAGCTGCCAGGGCGGAGGAAAGCAGTGTCCCTGAGACGCTCCCATCGTGGCACTGTGCTGTGAGGATTATGTGGAGGGCAGCAGCTGGGCCCCAAGTCCTCCTGCTGCCCACACTGGGCACCGCCCAGCTGCTCCTGGGCCTGCCGTGGGTCTGCCTGCTGGGCCACAAGTTGGTGACGTCCCAGGGCGAGCAGGCGGCTCCACCTGCTTGTCACCTCTCGGATGTCACCGCGTCAAGGAGTGGCTTTGGGTGGGGCTCGGGTTGGGCTGCAAACCCCAAGGCTGGGAGGGGAGCAGGGCAGCCTCGTGATGGGGATGGGGGTGCAGGCCCGGTCCTCCCACCCCTGCTCCTCCAGGGCTCGAGGGGGTTCGCCAGCTTCAGTGGCGAAAGAAGCCCACCACTGTCTGCCCCACCAGTGTCCACATCCATCCAGGCGCCCACTGCCCACCACTGCCCATCTTAGCCACTTCCCTTTTCCTGGACAAAATACTGGACGTCTCTAATTGAAAGAGGAGAGGTTTACTCCAGGCCCTGATGGTTTGAAAGCAGGAGGATGGCAGAAGAGCCTGGCAGAGGAAAGTTGTTCACACCACGGTGGCCAGAAGCAGAGAGGGAGGGAGCTGCAGGTAGGGACACGGACAGCCTTCCGGGGCACACCCCAGGGCCCCTCCACCAGGCCTCGCCTCCTAACAGCCCATCAGCCACACGCTCACCCATGGAGGAGTCCACCGATGAGCGCAGCAGCCGTGATCCCACATTGCGCACAGGAGATGGAGCCATTCTAGAAGTAAACCGTA